AGAAAGAAGCAGAAACGAAGTAATAAAAATTTGCTATATACCCTATTGTTAATTCGTAATTATTTCATTTAATTGGCGCACGCTTCATGCGCATCTTATGGTTTCTAATGTGTAATAATGATAAAGTTTGTTTTACAATGTAGCATGTGGGAAGCACTGTTTTCATTACGAAACGATTTTTTCAATCCACTTTTGTTTTTAGTCCCTCTGAGATCTGTGAAGAACTTTGCATTATTCGATCTTTTATCCCCAGATAGCCCCAAATTGTCAGCACTGTTCACTTATTGAGTATTTACGGTTTTGGATGTCTTCATCACTGAAGTTGGGAGCATTTTTGCTATATGAGCTGTTTTTGTCACAAACAGAGAATTGCTTTTATCTACTCTCTTTCTTAATATATTATAAAGGTGTGAAGTTCCGTGATGTCATTCTAGTTATAAAGCTGATTTGTCTTTCAAAAAAATTATTTCTTAAAAGTCTATTAACTGTGCCTCTTTGCAAAGCAGTGTGCAGTACGATATAGTACGCAACCTGGATTTCAACTTAAAGATGTTTAGGTCTGTACTAGATCTGTGGCACTCGCTATAACGCATTATCTATCTGTGACTGCAGATCCATTCAGATGTTGACTACCTCTGAACTTTCGTTTCTTCGACTTTTGGAAAGGACAAAAAAGTTGGCGAGAGAGGACTTGATTGCGAACGTTTGGAAAGTGAACGCTGCTGTTATATATCTGGAGAATTTGTTCAATAGGTTGCAAGATGAGAAAAGGCTAGTCGTCCTGATATGTAGTTCCAGCGATTGACATTTGATTTCAGAATGTACAACAACGACATGTTGATGCAGTATGGGAGAGAGCTAAACCAACTCAAGCTTCTAGTAGATGCGGAAAGTTGCGTGAGTTAATATCTTTCCTTTCTACGCTTTCATTCCCAATGGATGCGTATCTCGGTACGCCTATTTATCAGTATGCGCTTGGTGACCGTTGCATACCATTTCTTTGAAGAGGGTGTTGAAGAGGATTTTGTCCAGAGTTTAGAAAGAGAGAGAGAGTTGTCACTCCCATTTTTTGGATAGGGAGGATGAGTACGCTTTTCCCCCGTTTATCTTGCTGCGTGTGGATTTTAAAACGTTTCCTGCTACATGTCTTAGAGTGCTTGCTGTTGCTGCTACTTAGGTTGCACCAACCAATTTTTCATATTTAGGATAGTAAGTAGCATACAGTGATTTGATTAAACGGAGTCTTAATGCTTCCACGTATTCAGCAAGCGTTCATTCCATTTTTCTGACTTGAGCTAGTTCTAGAAATCTTCTGAAGATAAATTGTCGCGGCTGAATCTTATACCGCGACATTTTCCAGATACTAAAGATATTCACTTAAAAGGTATGCTGAAGTTTTATGCTGTTTTTTCTCCCATGTTTTTTTTTTCTCTCAGGGGTTGCCCCCCAGCAGACAGAAATTGCTTCTGAAGTACGTCTACGTAATCGCACAGTATACAGAGCAGATTTGCGCAAGCAACTGCTTGGTGAACAGGCAAAACGTCGAGAAGAAAGTGAGTGATAGACTTTGAATTCGTAATAAGCAAAAGAAAGTGTTTAGTGTCTGACGATCTGATGAAGCATGAAGAGAAGCAGGAGAGTTTAGCCAATGAACTACTGTCACTGACGAAATCTTTGAAACACAATATGAGTATCGCTGGGAATGTTCTAAAGGACGACAACAAAGTACGATTGTCTCAA